ATTGGCTGAGGACAGGTTCTCTCAGTAATACACTTGTCTAAGTATCATTAGGGTGCCTTCAAAAAAAGGTGCCAAAAGTGTTGCTTGAAGATCAACTAGCTAAAAGAGTTGATCTTTCCATTGGTCTTTTAAGCAAGATTTAAGCTAAATCTAAATAGTTTTATGAAACAAATTATAACTGGAGATAAGTATTGGATTTACCAATATGATCCAGAGAGAAGGTACAATAAAAACAGGCTTCCAAGGGAATTTGCTCATTGTTGTTATTGTTAGCTGCCATCAAATTGGTTTCGACTCAGTGATTTATGTACACCAGAATAAAGCACTATCGAATGCTGAACCAACCTCCTATGCTTGAACCCATTACAGTTGCACTCTGTCTATCCATCTCATTGGAAGTCTCCCTCTGTTTTTTGATCCTCCAGTTTACCAAGCAGGATGTCCTTCTCCGTGGACTAGTCTCTCCTGAATATATGTCCAAAGTATGAGATAAGAATCCTGACTTCTAAGGAGAACTCAGGCTGTACTTCTTCCAACACAGACCTGTTTCTTCATCTGGCAGTCTGTTGTTGTTGTTAGGTGCCATCGAGTCAGTGCCAGTCCATAGTACTTTTAATATTCTTCTCCTACATCATCACTTCAAATGCATGAATCCATCTACTGTCTTCCCTATTCATTGTTCTACTTTCATATGCATATAAAGCTATTGAAAATACCATGACTTGGGTCAGGTGCACCTTAGTCCTTAAAGTGACCTCTTTGCTCTTGAACATTTTAAAAGAGGTCTTGTGAAGGAGACTTGAATAAAGCAATGCATCATTTGATTTCTTGATTGCTGCTTCCATGAGTGTTGATGCTTGACCCAAGCAAAATGAAGTCTTGAACAGCTTCATCCTTTTCTTCATTCATGTTGATGTTATTTATAGGTCAAGTAGTGAAGATTTTTGTTTTCTTTACATTGAGGTGTAATGCATACCAAAGGCTGTGGTATTTGATCTTCATTAGTAAGTATTTCAAGCCCTCTTTACTTTCAGCAAACAAGGTGGTATTATTTCCATATTGCAGTGAGTTCATAAGTCTTCCTCTAATCCTTCTTTATATAATCCAGCTTCTCAGATTCTTTGCTCAATATAGAGATTTAATAAGTAAGGCAAAAGAATACAACCCTAATGTAAACCTTCCTTCAGTACTATCAGCTCTTGATCATATGCTACCTCTTGAAATGGTTGAATATTGACCATTTCTTTTTGGTACAGAGACTCTGTGTATTCCTTCCATCTTCTTTTAATATTTTATGCATTATTAAGTACTTTGTACATTACATCCTTCAGTATTTCAAGCCAAGGCTTGAACTTTTTCCTCAGTTCCTTCAGCTTGAGAAATGCTGAGTATGTTCTCCCTTTTTAGTTTTATAACTCAGCATTTATGTCCATTTCATTATAATATTTGATTTTGTCTCCTCAAGCTTCCCATTGAAATTCTCTGTTCAGCTCTTTATGTCATTTGTTCCATTTCTTTTGCATCTCTATGCTAGAGAACAATTTCAGAGTCTCTTCTGACATCCATTTTGGTCTTTTCTTTCTTTCTAGTCTTCTAATGACCTTTTGTTTTCATCCTGTATTATGTTCTTGATGTCATTCCAAAACTCTTCTGGCTTTTGATCATTAGTGTTTAATGCATCAAATCTGTTCAAGGTCATATTTTGGCTCTCGTGGATTTGCTTTAATTTTCTTCAGCTTCAGCCTGAACTTGCTTATGAACAATTGATGGTCTGTTCCACAGTCTGCCCCTGGCCTGGTTTTGACTGATGATATGGAAGGAGATTTTCCACCATCTCTTTCCACAAATGTAGTCAATTTGATTTCTGTATATTCCATTTAATGAAGTCTGTGTGTATATATTTATTTTTTACAGTTTTAAAAAGGTATTTGCAATGAAGAATTCATTGGTCTTACAAAATTCTATCATGGATTCTCAAGCATAGTTGCAATCATCAGGGTCGTTTTTGCAGCTACTGATCCTTCTTCCTTGTTTCCAACCTTTGCATTCCAATCATCAGTAATTATCAATACATTTTGGTTCCATGTTTGAACGATATCAGACTGAAAAATTTGGTAGAATTCTTCAATTTCATCTTCACTCGCTTTAGTGATGGGTGTGTAAATTTGAGTAACAGTGGTAGTAACTGGTCTTCTTTGTAGGCGTGTTGATATTATCCTATCAAAGATAGCATCATACTTCAAGGTACATCTTGCAATGTTTTTGTTTTGTTTTGTTTTTTATGATGAATACTACAGCATTTCTTTTCAATTTGTCATTCCCAGCTTAGTAAACAATTTGATTGTCAGATTCAAAGTGGCTAATAATAATCCATTTCAGCTAACTAATGCCTAGGATATTGATATTTATGCATTCCATTTTTTACAACCTCCAGTGGTCCTAGACTCATATTTTATATATTCCATATTTTGATTATTAGTGAATTATTACAGCTCTTTCTCCTTATTTTGAGTTTTGCCCCATCAGCAAATATAAATCCTGAAAGCTTTACTCTATTCATCTTCATGGTCAACTCTACTTTGTGAAACAATTCTTCCAGAGTTTTGTTTTGAGTATCTTCCAACCGGAGAGGCTCATCTTCCCACATTATATCTGACAATATTCTGGTGCTATTCATAGTATAATATCTGTTGCTAACAGTGTTCCACTGCTGCTATTCATAAGGTTTTCAGTGGCTAGACATTTGGAAGTAGTCTGCCTCTCCTTCTTCCTAGACTGCGTTACTCTAGAAGCATAGCTAAAATCTGTCAACCAAGGTGGCCCTGCCAGCATTCAAGATTATCAGTGGCACAGCTTCCAGCATCACAACAACAAGGAAGCCACCACAGAATGACAAACTGACAGACAAAGGGTAGAATGGAGTTTGCTAATCAGATTAGAAATTTATAGCCAATGGTTTTGGAAATTACAAAGGTGTAATTTTGATATATATTTTTTAAGTTTTTATTGTAAATTGGGTGATAGTTTACATGGGACCACATCAGTTATGCACTCATCCTATCTATTTCATTTCATTGAAATGATTACAATCCCCTCCATGCATCACCACTCAACAGTATTTGCTGCTATTCCCTCTGGTTTTTTGTTTTATGTTGTCTTGTTTTGTTTTGTTTTTGATGTACACACACAAAAAACTCAGCAATATATAATCATTTAAACAACCCAAGGGCACATTCTGCAAGCCGGCCTCCTGATCACCAGCACATAGCCTTTCTCTTTCCATGAGTCTAGAGTCCTCAACTCCATGTCCTCATCTTTGTCTCCATCTCTGGTGTTGCTGCTTCTCTGGATAGGGTCCCACATTCCGCTCATGCTCTTTGGTTACATTTTCTTGACAGGGACAGGACAATCATGGGCCTGGTGTGGTGTTGTGGGCTAATGCATCACACTGCAAAGTCGTTTGCACTACAAGGTCGGTAGTTCAAGCTCACTAGCTGCTCCTTGGAAACTCTGTACGGGGTCACTATGGGTCGGAATTGACTCAATGGCACCTAACAACAACAACTAGGAAGAAGTTGTTGTTCTTTTAAAGTTGAGAACTGCCTTGGTGAGAAAAAGTCTAAGCAAGTAACACCAAGTAATTTTTTTTTCATCACAAAAATGTACTTGCTCATTCTTTGAAGATAGCAAGGACTGTCTTATGAGAATTTTGTTGGGAAACCTTAACCTTCCCACCATACATCCCTGACCTTGCCCCCTCAAACTTTTTATTCCTAACACTCAAAGAACATTTAAAAGGAATACAATTTTAGTTCTTTGACTATACCCAAACTCCCATTTGAATGTGGTGGAAATCTAAGAGTATAATTCTTCAGGGAGGGGTTAGAGAAATAGAAACACCATCTTTGGAAGTATGTAGATCTAGTTGGGGAACAAGTTGGGAAACAAAAATTTCACATTTGATATTATTTTTTAAATAAATGTTTCTATGATTTTTGTAATATTACTTTTTGACTTATCCTTGTACAAGACTTGTTCTTTCTTGTCTTCATTATATTCCCCGTCCCATAGAGTAGTGTTTGAGTGTCACAAGTACATATTTCAATGAATTTTAAATTCATGATTAGGTAAAGTAATAAGTTTGCTTTTGCTAAAACCATATTATAGAGGCTAAATATTGACAGCCATAAATCAACTTTCAGATAAACAATTTGGATTTTCGCACCTCACTTACTGATTGAATATTTTGCAATATTCCATCAATTAATTTCATTGGTATTAAGCATTGTGATTTAACAATGTTTTGTGTAATTATGTGGGTGTTTGATTTTATGATATCTCTATTACTTTATTTAAAATAAGGAAAATGAAAAATTGGAAGTGTTTATATTCAATGAGAGATGGGACAAAGGCAAAAATGTGTATGACAGATCTTTGGCCTAAATGGCCATTTAAATTTAAACCAAGCAATCAGTTATTCAAAGTTGAAAGAAAGGAAAATATTTGTAAATGTTTGTAAAATGATATAGACAATTATTTGTATAAACTGAGGAAATATTAATGATTTGTATCATTTTCTTTCCTACTAAATGTTTTATTTTAATACAATTAATTTATATATCATTTTCAATAAGATGATGCATAAAAATTAAAGACTGTCTTACTTGGATTCATCCTTTTCATGATATCAAGACACTTCCTTCTATTGCAGTAGATGTAAATTCATTCTTACCTTGCTTTCAAGTCTGAGCTCATTTCTGAGCACTTGATAGATATAGTTAAAGAGAGAAGCTTGACAATATAGTAGGAGAGAATGTCAACTTTTACATAATGTGGCTTTCTAAAAGGTATACATACAGTTTGTAAATTACAAAAATAAACCTAGCATTGTATATTTTTAAGAATTTTTCCCTTCCCCAAATTAAATTTAATAACCTTTATTTATAAAAATGATTCATTGTGTATAAATATTCTGATAGAAATTTGACATGCAAGCATACCTTCTTCAATGGGTTCATATTTTTGAATGATCTCATAAGCAATGGTTTTAGTCATATTGATTATAAACTGCTCTTGCCTTAGAAAGTCAATCAGATTTCTTTGAAAAAGAATTTTCCGGTTTGGAGAGTATGTGTTGAAGATCTCCATAATTTCTTCTCTGTGTGCAACAATTCGATAAATTGCTCTAAATTCTTCTATGGTGATTTTTCCTTGCTTCTGCCTGTCATTATCCTACTAAAAAAAAATTATTGGTGGGCTCACATTGTGAGTATGAAAAATATACAAAGTTAATAAGTTAGAGTATCCAGCTAATATGTATAGAAAATCATACTAAAACAAAGATAAAACTAACATTGGATTCTTATTTCAGATAGACTCTCTAAAACTATGTGATGTCAGAGTTGGGCAAGTGTTAATAGATCACTACTGGCCTTAGTAGGAGTAGAAGGAGTTATGAGAGAAGATGAAGATTCCTGGTTGTCTTTCCATGACGCATTGCACTTTTTTTTTTTAATGCCATCCTACTTCACTACCCTTCTATTGATTGACATGTGAGGCAGTGTGAAGCTCATGGAAGGCAGTGTGAGACCTGAAGCAAAGCTCAGATATTCTCTCAGAGAATTAAAGATGACTTTAAGCTTCAGAGATTAGAATAGTTATGGAAAACCTGGAGAAACATGGGATCTGAGTTACCCTTGAAAGATTTGGGTAGGGATAAAAAAAAAAAAAAAAAAAAAAAAAAAATGGGTTCTGGGTTCCAATAAGAAAAATTGGACTCATCTGTATATGGTAGAAAATTCATGTTTTGCTTTATGAGATAAAAGATCAGAAAGTAGGCTGGGTCCATTTATTAAAAATGGTAGAGCTTCCAAGTAGGAAAACAGATAGCAAAAGCAGAAACTCAGAATGATTACTAGTGTGTTGTCAATGTGAAGATATGGAGAATTGTAGGTAAAGGAGCAGAGAAGGCACAATCTAATAGTGAAGTGAAAAGGTTCTAGTAAAGAACAGATATTAGTGAAATTATGAAGGAGGGGAGTCAGGAATGCCTCAAATGAGGAATAGTCAAAACAACTAATAGAATTATAGTGTCCCAGGCAAAAACAAAAAAACCCACAAAAATCTGAGAGTAGGAAGTGCAGTTTAGAGGGAGATTTAATTGCAAGAAAGCTATTTGTCTACACCTTATTTCATTTGCTGTATTGTAAATAGCTCAAGTACAAGGTATATGTGTTGAAGGAATGTTGTGTTGTGGTGAAAAGCTGAGAGAATTTGTAGACAGATCTGACATTACATTCCAAGCCCCAATGTATATGGAGCTTTAAATTTACAACTTAACTCTGAGCTGCACACTCTTCACCTATAAAATGGGGATAAATAGTGTTATTTATACATATATCATTAGTCTGCTATGAGAATTAGAGATACACAACAAATGATAGTTGGAGATTTGGTGTCTGTTTTCCTCACATATCTAGCCTAGTATTATATCTTTTTGACAATTTTGCCTGTAAAGTATTCATCATTGTGAGAAGTCTTAGGTTACAATAGAAAACAAGCATATTAGAAACAAATTCTTCATTTCATCATGAAAAAGTACAGAGAGTTTGGTACAAGGGATTGTGGTACAGTAAACTGTTTTTATATAGCCTTTCTAGTCATGGTTTTATAACTAGAGCACATTGGCTGGGCCACGGTCTTGCAAGGAATTGGTCACTTACCATGCAAATTGTGTGAATGTGGCATACCAAGAGGCTAGATCAGTTGTGGTGGTCCTGGGGATTTGAAATTGACAAGAAGAAGGTTAAATATTGGGCTGAAAGGTCAGTAGTTTGAACTTACTAATTCCTGCATGGGAGAAAGACGATGTGAGGCATGCTGCTTCCATAAAGATTTATAGCAGTTCTACTTCATGCTATAGGGTCATTGGTGGTTTGGGGTTCATATAAGGGCCAGTACCACAGAGGTTAAACGGGACATGACTATCATAAAGAAGAGTCTGAAGCAGAGTGTTTGCTTAGTACACTGAGACCCTGTGCAAAGAACTTGCTAGATCCAGAAGGGTGAGCTGCAACACTGAAGACAGCATGAGATGGCAAGATACAGCTGTGGTGGGCTTGCTGCTCACAGAGCAAGAGTTGAGCATTTTCAGGGAGTAGGTTTGCCTGCAGAATTAAAATAACTGTAATATTTGGCCATGAAGGGAAGAGGCCTCAGTGTGTTTCATACAAGGGTTGCCTCAGAGATCCTATACAGGCATCTTCCTATAGTGAGGCTGAGTCACATGCCTTTTGGCAGAAGACTTGTAAGCAAAGCTTAACAAGCAGCAACACTTGCTTGTGCAGGACAAGAGAGGCCTGAGAGTGCTCAGTGCTGGAGCTGTATGACTCCCTTCCCCAACACCAGGTAGCAGGGGCCTAGGTAACATAGTACTAACAGAGTCCAACAGACCCAGGTAATGTGGTGGGAGATCGAAGTAGAGGCCAGCAAGGTCCAGCAGAGAACAGAAGCCTCAGGAACTCTGGAGGTCCCTCAAGAAGTTTGGTGATAGCTGGAGGCAACAGTAATGTAAACAGAATACCAGACCTGAACCAAAATAATGGATTTAGTAATTTGGGGAAGGATAAGTGTTTACTCTTTGGGAATCTGTTGTTATTTACTATTTGCTTGCTATAAATAATAGTAATAGCTTTGGCTTTGCCAACACTGTATGCCTCATGTGTCTGGTTTGATCACAGATGAATGTACCACCCAAAGAATGGTTGATACCAGTGGGTGTATTTGTTTCATTCTTAGAAATCTATGACTGCCTGGAAGCTTGAATGCAGTGCAGACAGACAGGAAGGAATGCAGTGCAGACAGACAGGCTAAACTGAGAACCAAATATAGAGAGCATCAGGTCAGTTGAAAGAGGAATGATAATCCATGTAGAAAGAATGACTTTAAAAGTTGTGTTTGGAATGAAGTCCCAATTGGAATGAGATGAAGATAAACTTGGAAAAAAAAGTGGAGAGCTATGGTTCCTAAATCAGAATATAGGTCTCCAGAGCTAGTTAAACAATAATGGTATATTAAATTTATAATCCTTAAGGAGCTTCAAGTAACTTATACATATTATCAACTATTTTAATAGGATAATATGGTCCAACTTTTTCAATTCTGAATTTTAAGGTAAATATGAGTGGATATCAAGAATTTAAATTTAAATTACTCTATTTTATTCTGTCCCACTTCTAATTTATCATAAGCACTTATGTAAGTCAATAAAATTCCAAGTGTTCCTGAAATTCCTAAAAGTCTCTTTACATAAAACTGTTGTTGTTGGCAAGGGCCTTAGAGTCTGTTCTGACTCACAGCAACCCTCTATAGGGTTTCTGAGGCTCTACGTATTTGCGGGAGCAGAAAGCCTCATCTATCCCTTGATATAAAACTGTGTGTATAAAAAATTACATTCCTATCAAATAATAGTATGAAATGAAATAAACATTATCCACTGAGTAATAGAAATGTTATTACTTTCAAGCAGGTTGGAAGCTTTTTCTGAAATGTCCTGTCAACTTGATAGTTCAAACCAAGTTTCCCAAATCCAAATTGCTATAAATTATAAAAACCAAAGAAGAATTAAGTGTAAAAAATGAATCAAATGACCAAGAAATAGAAACAGAAACTTGTGAGCAGGGGAAAGGAAGAAGAAGAAAAACAATAAACAATAAAAGTCATAATAGCTAAATTTTACAGTTGTTTGTTGTTGTTAGGTGCCATCGAATAGGTACCGACCCATAGCTACCCTATGCACAGCAGAACGAAACACTACCCAATCCTGTGCTAACCTCACTACTGTTGCCATGCTTGAGTCTATTGATGCTGCCACTTAGCCAATCCATCTTGTTGGGGGTCTTCCTCTTTTTCTCTGTCCCTCCACCGTACCAAACATCATATCCTTCTCCAGCAACTAGTCCCTCCTGACAATATGTCTGAAGTATGAGAGACAAAGTGTGGCCATCTTGGCCTCCAAGGAGTGCTCTGGTTGCACTTCATCCAAAATAGATCTACTGGTTCTTTCGGCAGCCCATGGTACTTTCAATATTCAACTTCAACATCATAACTCAAAAGCATCAATTCTTCTATGGTCTTCCTTATTCACTGTCCAGCTTTCGCATGCATATGAGGCTGTTGAAAATACCATGGCTTGGGTCAGGTGCACCTTAGTCCTCAAGCTGACATCTTTGCTCTTCAACACTTTAAAAAGGTCTTGTGCAGCACATTTGCCTAACACAGTATGTCGTTTGATTTCTTGACGGCTGCTTCCATGAGTGTTGATAGTTGATCCAGTGTTGTCCAAACAGAACATAGGAACACTGAGTCGTTTAAACTTAAGAAAGGTGTGTAATAAGGTTGTATTCTTTTACTATACTTATTCAACCTGTATGCTGAGCAAATAATTCGAGAAGCTCTTATATGAAGAAAAACGTGGCATCAGGATTGGAGGAAGACTCATTAACAACCTGAAATGTGCAGCTGATACAACCTTGCTTATTGAAAATGAAGAGGACTTAAAACATTTACTGATGAAGATCAAAGAACACAGCCTTTGGTATGGATTACATCTCAATGTCAAGAAAACAAATATCCTCACCACTGGACCAATAAACAACATTTTTATCCACGGAGAAAAGATTGAAGTTGTCAAGGACTTCATTCTTCTTGGATCAACTATCAACACTCATGGAAGCAGCAGTCAAATTTTACAGAGTACCTATGTACTATTATCTCTCTCTTCCAATAAACTGAGCTAAAAAATCATATGTAAATTTTCCCTGCTCCCACAAAAGATTTAAACTAACTCCAAAACTACTCCAAAACAGAAGGACAGTAGACAGAAAGTTCAGTGTGCCACTATATACATTAGCAGGAGAAATAAATTCTGTAAAGTGCAAATTGTATCATTCAGCTTCCATCTAAATTTGTCAATATTTTTCATTTGCCTACAACACAAAATCCAAATCCTTTAAGATTCCATCAAGGATCTTTCAGATCTGACTTGTGACCCAGGTGCTCTGAATTTGTCAGTTTCCAAAAAAAAACAACAAGGAAATACCTTACTTTTTAAGGAGCCCTGGGAACATGGTGGATGACAAGCTCGGTTGCTAACTGCAAGGTCAGTAGTTCAAATCTACTAGCCACTCCACTGGAGATAGATGAAGTTTCTGCTCCTGTAAAGACTTACAGCC